GATTCCCCAGGCCCCCCCCCTGTGACCCCCCCCCCCCAAGAACACCAAAAAAACCACACAGCTGCTCAGGAGGCTCCCTGAGGCTGCTCAGCACCAAATTTACACTAACACCCTCCAATCCCTAACCAGGAGTCTTCTGTCTGCTACCCAAGATACACACACCCGGAAATCCCGGCGGCCCAGCATCTCCAGCATTGGCACACTCACCGCACGACTTTCTGGCTGTATCGACTCCTCCGCAGACCATTTGCCGCCAGCACTGCCGGCTTCCCGAGGAAACTCCAAAACACCAGTAATGACCCGAAAACACCGCCCCGGCCAGACGCCCTTTGCACCAACATTCCACGTGAAGATGGATTACAGGCCGTCAGGAACACCGTCCCCGTGGACAGCCCTGCACACCTGGTCAGAGCGCCGCGACTGTCGTCTCCCACGACTGCTTCGATTCTGAGACCGCTTGTAACTTCACGTCAGCGGCACGGTCCTGGGCACCCGCACGGCCCTACAATATGCCAACGTCTTTAGGGCTGGCCTTGAACAATGGTTCCTCAGCGCCTGCCCCTAACGTCCATGACATCTTCACCATATGGACCCACGGGAAAGAGACCCTTGAAGAATTTCACAGGGATTTCAACACCTTCCACCCTGGAGCAGTGCACTAGGGAAACCCACTTCAGTAGTTAAATAAGGGACACGTTTCCACCACACTGTACCGGAAACCTCCCGACCACTACACTTCCCCTCATGCCATCTCAGCCGATTGTACACAGCCAAGCCCTAAGATACAACCGGATTTGCTTCGACCCCACAGCCAGAGACAAACACACCTCCAGGATCGATACAGAGCTTTCTTACCACTGAAATACCCACCCGGAGAAGTGAAAGCACGGAGCCACGAGAGCACCCAGACACCAACTACTTCAAGACAGGCCCAAAAGAGAAAACAACAGAATTCCACTGTCATCACCTGCAGCCCCCAACTTAACCCCCCGCAAGGTATTCTCAGCGATCCACAACCTAACCTGGGACATGACCCTCACTCTCACAGGCCTTGGGGGGAGGCCACCCCCTAACCCCAAACACATTGTCCAGTAACCACACAGCACGCCTCCATCACACTCATCCAGGACCCCACCTGCCCACACAGCTACACCAGGCCTTCATCACTGGCCCCAGCCACATCAGCCAGCCAACCAGAGGCACATTGACCTGCACGTCCGCTGGCGTGACCTGTGCCAGCCACGCCCCTCTGCCACGTACACCGGCCAACTGGACAGTCTCTGCGGGAACGAATGGATGGACACGAATCAGAGCTCCGAAAGGGCAACCCACAGGAACCTGACGGAGACGCGGCGAGGACCCTGCGGCGCCTTGTAGGCGAACCGACGTGTTGGAGCAGACGCGTTCGCAGGCGAAGACCCACTTCGGCAGATGCATGTGACGAGCCAGGTCTCTGCCCGCCACTCCACCCGGCTGCTTCAGGCCAATTCCACAAGCCAAATCCACAGAGAAGGGTTGGAGCTTAACTTCACGGACACGTGGAATTCGTATGCAAATGGATGAAGGGGACATTGGCCGGCTCCCACACGACCTGCCCCGTCCGAACGACTTAACCGGGGCCAAGTGCTCTTAGCAGCCTCTTGCAGCTAGCTGAACCATCTCCCCCCACCCGGCTGCTTCAGGCCAATTCCACAAGCCAAATCCACAGAGAAGGGTTGGAGCTTAACTTCACGGACACGTGGAATTCGTATGCAAATGGATGAAGGGGACATTGGCCGGCTCCCACACGACCTGCCCCGTCCGAACGACTTAACCGGGGCCAAGTGCTCTTAGCAGCCTCTTGCAGCTAGCTGAACCATCTCCCCTCGGGCTCGCTCGATTGTCTTTTCTTTCCCCCTTGTGATGCAGGGTCAGTATCTTGCCGGTCCCTACGCTTGGGCTGTGAGCGACCCCTACTGGCCGGTGTCGGTCGCTACGCTTGGGCTGTGAGCGACCCCTACTGGCCGGTGTCGGTCGCTACGCTTGGGCTGTGAGCGACCCCTACTGGCCGGTGTCGGTCGCTACGCTTGGGCTGTGAGCGACCCCTACTGGCCGGTGTCGGTCGCTACGCTTGGGCTGTGAGCGACCCCTACTGGCCGGTGTCGGTCGCTACGCTTGGGCTGTGAGCGACCCCTACTGGCCGGTGTCGGTCGCTACGCTTGGGCTGTGAGCGACCCCTACTGGCCGGTGTCGGTCGCTACGCTTGGGCTGTGAGCGACCCCTACTGGCCGGTGTCGGTCGCTACGCTTGGGCTGTGAGCGACCCCTACTGGCCGGTGTCGGTCGCTACGCTTGGGCTGTGAGCGACCCCTACTGGCCGGTGTCGGTCGCTACGCTTGGGCTGTGAGCGACCCCTACTGGCCGGTGTCGGTCGCTACGCTTGGGCTGTGAGCGACCCCTACTGGCCGGTGTCGGTCGCTACGCTTGGGCTGTGAGCGACCCCTACTGGCCGGTGTCGGTCGCTACGCTTGGGCTGTGAGCGACCCCTACTGGCCGGTGTCGGTCGCTACGCTTGGGCTGTGAGCGACCCCTACTGGCCGGTGTCGGTCGCTACGCTTGGGCTGTGAGCGACCCCTACTGGCCGGTGTCGGTCGCTACGCTTGGGCTGTGAGCGACCCCTACTGGCCGGTGTCGGTCGCTACGCTTGGGCTGTGAGCGACCCCTACTGGCCGGTGTCGGTCGCTACGCTTGGGCTGTGAGCGACCCCTACTGGCCGGTGTCGGTCGCTACGCTTGGGCTGTGAGCGACCCCTACTGGCCGGTGTCGGTCGCTACGCTTGGGCTGTGAGCGACCCCTACTGGCCGGTGTCGGTCGCTACGCTTGGGCTGTGAGCGACCCCTACTGGCCGGTGTCGGTCGCTACGCTTGGGCTGTGAGCGACCCCTACTGGCCGGTGTCGGTCGCTACGCTTGGGCTGTGAGCGACCCCTACTGGCCGGTGTCGGTCGCTACGCTTGGGCTGTGAGCGACCCCTACTGGCCGGTGTCGGTCGCTACGCTTGGGCTGTGAGCGACCCCTACTGGCCGGTGTCGGTCGCTACGCTTGGGCTGTGAGCGACCCCTACTGGCCGGTGTCGGTCGCTACGCTTGGGCTGTGAGCGACCCCTACTGGCCGGTGTCGGTCGCTACGCTTGGGCTGTGAGCGACCCCTACTGGCCGGTGTCGGTCGCTACGCTTGGGCTGTGAGCGACCCCTACTGGCCGGTGTCGGTCGCTACGCTTGGGCTGTGAGCGACCCCTACTGGCCGGTGTCGGTCGCTACGCTTGGGCTGTGAGCGACCCCTACTGGCCGGTGTCGGTCGCTACGCTTGGGCTGTGAGCGACCCCTACTGGCCGGTGTCGGTCGCTACGCTTGGGCTGTGAGCGACCCCTACTGGCCGGTGTCGGTCGCTACGCTTGGGCTGTGAGCGACCCCTACTGGCCGGTGTCGGTCGCTACGCTTGGGCTGTGAGCGACCCCTACTGGCCGGTGTCGGTCGCTACGCTTGGGCTGTGAGCGACCCCTACTGGCCGGTGTCGGTCGCTACGCTTGGGCTGTGAGCGACCCCTACTGGCCGGTGTCGGTCGCTACGCTTGGGCTGTGAGCGACCCCTACTGGCCGGTGTCGGTCGCTACGCTTGGGCTGTGAGCGACCCCTACTGGCCGGTGTCGGTCGCTACGCTTGGGCTGTGAGCGACCCCTACTGGCCGGTGTCGGTCGCTACGCTTGGGCTGTGAGCGACCCCTACTGGCCGGTGTCGGTCGCTACGCTTGGGCTGTGAGCGACCCCTACTGGCCGGTGTCGGTCCCTACGCTTGGGCTGTGAGCGACCCCTACTGGCCGGTGTCGGTCGCTACACTTGGGCTGTGAGCGACCCCTACTGGCCGTTGATCCCAGGCTTCACGTGGCGTTTCAATATTTCGCAGGCGGAGCGCCATGCGGCTCTTGCTCCATTTCAGGCGGAAGTGCCCTTATCGACCGATTGGACAGTCGATGGAAATTCCGACTATTCGTTTAGTTGATTCATCTAATTTTAACATCCTGACGTCAACGTTCCCTTCACGTGTCTCAGACGTGCGTCTGTCCAGCCGTCCGCGAGGCTCTTTGCTCAAGAACCCCTCCTCAGCGGTCAGGGCTAGGGCACCCAAGCCAGCTCCGGGATGCTCGTGCCGCGTCAGTGGGACATGCCTGGAACTTGACTGTTTCTCCTAACACGGAGAGGGCGGGGCTGGTAGACTGGCTGCAGGGGGGCAGCGAGGGGCCAGAGACGGGGCCAGGACGTCTGTAACCCCACAGGCCGGCAGGGGGGGAGAAAGGGCGGCTCTCCACCACACACTGCTGAGTTTGTGCGTCTCTCCGTCTCCCCCCCAAGGAACTGCAGCAGCCATCGGGGGGCT